TCAAAGTAGATTCAAAGTGATTGTTCATATCTTTTGTAGTATTCTATTATTATTTTAAATGATCAAGTGTCTATTTGAGACATTTTAAATAAATATCTTTTTAATCAGCATTACCAAAACATATAATTATTATTTCATCATATAATCACTCAGGGAATTTAATTTTATGTAATTGACAAATACTAATGGTTATAACTTATAAGTTTGAGTTAACAATAGTTTCTATTATATATATATATATACTGTACTGTATATGTAAAGTTTACATGAAATGTTTATTCAAGTACAGTAGTCATTAATATTTTAGATTTAAAAACACATATTTGTTTAAAATAACTAATTTAATCTGAATTAACTTGGTTTATTGAATGAAGATCTTGTACATTTAATTAATTTATTATAGAATTTGGTTAAAATGTATAATTTATTGAGTTTTGCAATTATATCGTTGTTATTAGCCATACAGACAATGAGTGAATCCACTTATAAATACGATGCCGACGCTATTCAGGTAAGTCTTGTTTTATATTCATTATATTATACTTTACTGCAAATATACACTTCACTTTACACAAAACTACCCACTATAATTAATTAATATAAACATTTATATTACATTCATATCTAATGCAAGTTTTTTATTTACTGTTGTAATGCTATATCAATGATCAAATTAGAATTTTCAATTAAATGAACTATAAGATTTAACTTGCTACACATGAATTCCAAAATAGATGTACCTTATGTCAAAATATTATTTTTATATGTCTACGAAATCGCTAGTACACAATCTGTATTACTTGTAAGATTTTTTCTTGTACAATAAGTATATTTTATGTTTCCCATAATTGGAATAGCTATCATAAAAAGTCAGATAAATGAGACGGCAACTTATACGGCATATCTCATAACTTTATTAATTTACTTATTTTTCATTAGCTGGGCAAACCAATTTGATTATTAATAAATTAGATTTTGTTTCTATTAACAAATGAATAAATTGTTTAAATTATACAAATCTGTTTCATTATGTTTCATTATATATGTTTAGACACTTGCCCGAAATACATTTACCCGAAATAAATTTCCCCGAATACATTTGCCCGAAAATAAATAATTCATAAATAAAATTATTATCTGACAATAAATCTTTATTATTACTAGATTTAATCATTTCTACTCCATTTTCCATTTATATTTAAATTAATATTGAAAACTTGTAATAAACAAATTATGTTATAAACATGTTATAATCATATGAAATAGATATTACCTCAATATATAAATATAGTTTTATTATTATTAATATTTTAACAAAACTATTGTATTTTTATTAATTCTGGTTTTATTAATACTAATGTTGTATTTTCGGGCAAGTGTATTCGGGGAAATGGTACTCGGGCAAATGACTTAGGGGCAACTGAACCACTCCCCTGTACAGTATAGTAATCAAAATATTAAAGTACAATAGTTTTCAAATTATTATTTCTACTCTCATTATCATCTTAATAATAGGATATACTCTGTAATACATAGATTATAAAAGTGTATAATTTGTATAATTAATATATAATTATAATATTAATGATATTAATTTCATACATCGACCACATTCATACACGTTGACTGCAATGGAAAGGCGCGTAAACCGGAGCGCCCAATACATCCCCTTCTGTTGTCGCGAACCTCTCCCCGAGAAATGACGGGTCAAGAGGTGTCTGACGATGAGTTGCGGGTGATGTTTGAAGCGGCCCGTTGGGCGCCCTCCCACTACAACCTCCAGCCCTGGCGTTTTGTTTACGCCAAACGCAATACAACTCATTGGCAGCCGTTTATGGACTTATTGTGGCCATTGAACCAGCAGTGGGCACAAACAGCCGGTGCTCTTGTCATCGTTCTCTCTAATAAGTGGTGGCTCTATAAGGGAGAGAAGCAGTTGATCCCAACCCACAGCTATGACACCGGCGCCGCCTGGATATCGATGGCATTAGAGGGAACCGCTCGGGGACTTGTTGTACACGGAATGGGAGGTTTCGACTACGACAAGGCCTACCAGTTGTTAGGCGTTATAAAAGATACCCATAATATCGATGCGATGATAGCTATCGGCAAACGACCCGCAAAGGAGGATCGCAAACAACAGGAAGCCATCTCTCAGAGGAATCCTATCGACAAATTTGTTTTCGAAGGAGTTTTCGTTAATAACGACAAAATCTAAAGTTCCCTTCCGTTCCCTACCTTTCCTTAAATATTATGTAATAATCTTTTGTTTTTGTTTTTGAATAACTTTTTAATTATATTCATTAATTATCTAAATATTTCAATGTTTGCTAAAGTAGTTACGCTATGATATTATGGAATTATTATACAGTAGTTAAATATTATAAATTATTGATATAGATTTATATCGTAATCAATATGGCTAATTGTATTTTCTATATGTAAATGTAATATTGATAATAAAATCTTCTATTTAGAATTATCGATAGTTTAAATTTTAAACATTAAAATATTATAATTTTAACTATTTTATTCTATAATTGCACATAGGGTCCCAAAATGAAATTGTTTGGAAAAGCATTAAGACTATTAATTTAAGACTAACCATGCAAAATTACGCGTAATTAATTTTTGGCCTACCCTCTCCCATCCCGTTCCCCCTCAGGATAGAGAAAAAGTAGTCATATCAGTGTATTGGTGCAAAAAATGCATAGTTGCAAAAATATTTTGTTTTGATCCTCAATTCTAACACATACATTAAGTATGTTAAATGTATCTTAATTAATAAGAAAAACAAGTCTCAACCCTTTTGTCAAAAATTTTATAAAAGTTTTATATAAAATTATAATACTATAATATTACTATGACTCTGTACAGTACAAATTTAATTAAATTCTACACAATAGTTTTGAAATTGTAGAGTAGAGATAAGTATATTTTGAAATAATTGGTCATTTCATCTATAAATAACTGTCCACAATTGCATTAATGTCTACGTTTCATAAATTAACATACTGTATATTTTAATCCGTCAATCATAAATCATTGAAATATTCAGTTAGGTTTACGTTGTGGTCAATAATAATGAGACAATACGTGGATCCTAATGACAGGGGTTTTGTGTTTGTTGTTTGTGGTCTGCATTTGACGGATGAAATATAATATGAAATTCAATTTTCTGGTCATATAATGATTATAATCCATATACAGTATTGCATATATTGTATATTGCCAATATTGCTAATACTTCTAATAGTCCACATCAGTGACCGTCAACTTACAAAACGAGGATCGGGTGCTCAGTCTTGCGGACATACTGTCAATAGACAGTACTGTACAGTATGTGTCGATTAGAGACAAATTGGAGGACCAAATATTGTCACAAATAGCACTTATTTCTTAAGATGTAATACTTATTATAATACAAATTCTTGAGACCACTTCATTAGATGACAATTATATTCAATGTCTATTAATATCATATCACATACAATAAAACATCTTTATAGATTCAATTCATATAACATCAACAATATGCCATGTATTCTGATATTGTATGAAATAGAGACAAACTCTTCATAAGCAATGACTAGGGCTGCCAATTGTTTTCAGGGTCCGGGCGGACAAATAGTCAAAATTGAGGTTTGTCAGGACATCGGAAAGACAACATTTTAAAAAAATTTAACGCCTCCTGGTCACACCATAATTTAAACATAACTACAATTCCCTTCACAAAACTATTTTGTTTTCTTCCTAACAATTCTTTCTTTTATTTAAAATTACTTTTTAATAATCACAAGTAATTTAACAACTTTCATAAATTAATTGAATATTAATTATAATTTTACATTAATTTCAGGGAGGCATTACATTTTTACATTGTCCTAAAGGTTGCCTTAGCTATGACAATAGGCTATGAGATTAAACTTGAAAGTGTTCAATGTTTTATGATTGTATGATTCTCATCCTTTTCATAATTTGTGCAGTCAACAATTAAGGCATAATATTATTAAATAATATTAAATATTTACCCGCCTCCTAATTATCATAATCATGTATAGCGATTTGAACATTTAATACATTCTGCTAGATAAACGGACCTGGATATTACAATTATATCATACCATACAAGTATGATTCAACCGGGTTTTTTATAATTAGTAAAAGCACTTCCAACCCATTGGTTATTTTTAAAATGATAATGTCCTCATTTTATAATACTCATTTTTATAAATATTTTTTTATGTAATAACATTTTGTTAAGGAGTTAAGAGTAAATTATAGTCATAAAAAGTGAAATTCAATGCATGTCTCTATTGTCTATTTGCACCTTAAAATACAGTACCAAACATATGAAAATTGTGAGATGTTGATCAGCCTTATTGGTATACAGTTTAATAATGTAATATATTGAAAACAAACATTTATAAAGCAATGATAATAAATATTAATAGAGTACATGAATCATTCAAAATTAGCCATAAGTGAGAATCACTTGTATCTGTTGTAGACAATGACAATGTTTGGGATGAATGGGATGTAAGCGATGTATCGATGAGAGTATTGTGCGGATGCGCTGCTCTTGTGTCCGAAGTATAGCTTCTAAACGTCTGACAAACACTCCGAACACTACTTATGAAGCGATTCTCAAAACTAAACGCAAATTTCAATCATTGCTACTATTATTATATAATTATATGACTATCTCATCATTTCTATTATAACCTTTCGTGATTGTTATTACTTTTTCAACATTTATTTGTTATAAACCATTAAATATTTCACCATCATATCATTGTGCAGTATGATATCTACTTAATATACAGTACTAACATTTTTATTAATATTAAATATGAAAAAAAATTAATTATATAATTTATAATAAAGCATATTAAATGGGATTTTCAACTCTTCTTTAATAATATAGTAATTTTCAACGCTATACATTGGTTCAAATGAAAGATTTATTATTAAAAAGGTACATTAAAAAACCATTGAAAGCTTACAAACCACATGTAAAGTATTCAAAGTTTAAAATCTTAACTTGATTACACATTCCGTTATTACTTTAAACGATTAACCTGTGATTGAATAACTTTTGCTTATAGTTACTAGGCATTCAATGGATTTTTATTATATTTATTTTAATAATTCTTATGTTAAATATAAATTCCCTATTACATTTATATAATATAACCTCGGCAATAGATAGATCATTGTCATATTAAAATATAGTTGATACCTTACTTTTGATTAATTTGTCTTTATATCTCATTATGAGATTCTCATATTTAAAAGTATAAATATGTTTGAGTGTAAAAAACGTGCAAGTGTATACCTCATTTATTGTACGATGTGTTTCATGATTACGTCCTATGTTGGTAAGCCTATTATTTTAAAATATATTTAAAACATAGATTTCCAAATGATTTAATAGGGATTTAAATTTTAAAAGAATAGATATATAATGAAAATAGTGTAGAATTTGCATTTCATACAACTCTATACAGGTATCACTTTTTATACCATATCTTATAATCTTTTCTTATGTTATGTAAACTCTTGACTTTGTTCACTGTAAGCAATGATTGAATGCCTGTATTTTTAACAAACACGACACAGTGTTGAACACTTAAAGTATCGTCAATTACAAAAGTACCTTGAACTACAGTAAAGTTAAAGCAGAGATGAGATGAGTATTTCATATTCTCCGAGCAGATATACATTAAAATAACTTTTTATATAGATATTAAATGATTTTTGAAATGATTGCCTCAACAAGAGGTGACAGTATTTTGTGAACGAGTCTTCAATTATTTGGCATTTGTCTCATTCAGTAATCTATATGTCATTCCCATGGGTTAGCATTACATCGTATTTGACACAAATCACAATCAATAAGATATTGGAGATTGAAATGTGAGATCAATAGAAAATAAGTTATTTCCATGTATTGCAAGCATAACAAGCTTTAAAACATTGTTTATTATTACAAATACATTAAAAACTATAAAAATTTCGATTTCAACACTATATCATACCTAGGTATATTTTATATTATATTAATTTTAAGTGTAAACATAAATCAAAATAAAGGTTTTTGCTAAATAAGGTTTATTGTATATACATTTATTAATATTAAGAATTTTCTTGAAATGATTGTGCATATTGATTATAATAGTTTTAATATACAGTAACCGTTATGTGACAAAACCTTTATTTTTATATAAATTGTTTACTGTACACATATACAGTACTATAAAATATGATCAATTGTATATAATAAAGTATTTTATCTGTTTTATGTGAAAATAATGAAAATAATTGGTAATTTTAAGTTATTATTAATTATATTAACAGTAACAGTAACTGTAATTGATATATAACAATAGTGTTAGTTATCTTTAAGATTTCAACATATTCATATAATACTGTATATTTATTGCTATGATCAAAATTTTCTTTTATTTTCATTTTCCCTTAAAATTGACAAACATACTGATTTTTCAAACAAATATCGTATACTTTCAATTCTAATTAATATGAAAATTAAGAATTAATAAAATCAACCACACTACGCTAATAAATATGAATAACGAAACACTGAAAAAATAACATATGAAAAACTGTATGTTGAAGTCTTAAAGATAACGAACACTATTATTATTTAATAATACAAGTATTATATTATATATATATATTACTAATACTGTTAATATAACTAATAATTGTAAATTAAAATAGGTAAATGAGTAAAGGTATTAGTAATTAAAAAGTAACAATTTTATACTTATAAATTACAACCTGCAAGATACATTTGGTGAGATGTGTTTTAGTGTAAATACCTATGTTTAAAATACTGGTTCTTACATTTAAGAAAAAAGTATTTTTCAAGTTTATTGAATTATATATGCTTCGTATTAACGGATTTCAAATTAATTAAATAATAGTAAGAAACATAATTTATTAAACTTTATAATAAAACTCTTTTAAATAAAGATTTTTTATATAAAGATTAGATTCAATAGGAATGGCTTAAATGATTTTTAGATTAAAAATGTTTAAAAGCTATGGATCAAAATTCACTTGATAATATTGATATAGTTGTAATAAAGTACAGTATACTATTGTATATGGTGCACAACATGCAAAAGAAGGACATTTATTTTGCACTGCAGACTGTATACTTAAAATAATAAATCCTTTCAATAATACCACATAATGTTTTTTAATTGTTGA